GGACGACCAGACACTTAGCATATTAGGCTTTTATTATATAGGATATGTATACAAAAAGTATACTTCTTAACTCATAGATTGTCCTTGGATATTGTTGTTACCAGACAGATTGTCCTTAAAAAGTCAGGATGTTTTATTACCATGGGAAAGACATGAGAAAAGTGTGTAACTCTGGGATATCTGCTCTTGATACTCATCATTTTTCTATAGGCTTCTTGGTTGTTTTCTTTTGTATTTTTTGAAGCTTCTTTTATATTAAAGATTATCGCTTAGTAATAGAAATTGCAAATATTTTCCCCAATATTAACATTTTTCTTTGCTCATGGTGTTTATTTCCTTGTAAAGTTTTTTTCAAAAATATAACTAGATTTATCACTCTTTTTATTGCGTCTGGATTTTGTGTTATAGGTAAGTTTTCCCTATTCCTTGGTTATGGAGGAGTTTACTAATTTTTTCCTTCTAGTTTTTGTATGGTTTTATTTTTGTACATTTAAAAATGATTTATTGGGAGGTTATGGTACATGATGTAAGGAATGAGTTTAATTTTTCTTTTCTTTTTTTTTTAAATAAAGAATTCCTTTTTAATGAACAGTGTTAAAACAAATTCTTTAAAAAAAATCTTTCTCTCCACATCTTTTCTAAAATATTAAACTGCCTGAGATGAAAGGAAATCTATATAACATGTGTTGGAGCCAGACTTTCCTGCTAATCTTTGAACACACAGCTTCTGTGCCTGCGTTTTCACAATAAGAACCTAGGCACAGCCTTTCCTGGTTCCCTAACGATTGCATTCTCCCTTCAACTAAAAGATGCATTTGATTTCTATTACTACCACCTTTATTAGGATCTTGTGATTATTACTCAACGTGATCAACCAATGGAAATTAAACACAAACAGAAATTTAATTGAGGATTACTAAAAATTATAAATAGCCTGAAACAAATATCCAAGGAATAAAATAATAAGAACGTTAGCCTTTGATATTTTGTTATAATTAATTTTTCAATAAATTGTTAGTTTAAAATTATCAGATTACAACAAAACACTATAAAAGGATAATCAAATGAAATCAGTATCATTGGGCCATATAAATTTACCAATAAATAACAAGTTGCCAGAAATATTAAACAATACTTTCATATTTGCAAAGGTATATATTCTTATGGTGACTATTGATTAAATAATTAACACACCACCTATTATGTTCATTGTTACAAAGACAAATTTCAAAAGTACATTCAATTCTCATTATTCTCAGTATTAGATTCTATAAAGTAACTGCAAATGCTCAATTCATGAATACTGAACCACTTCTCCTAGGAGAAACACAAGGTTAGATTCCTACAGGCCTCTGATCACAGCATTTTCATCAGCTAATCAATACATCATCTTATTTTATATGTGTTTCTTTTTAAATATACTTTAATATATTATTGATTCATTGACATTGGACTCACAGCTCTAGCATTATAACTCATGCTTGAACGAAGCTTATTTACATGCAGATATTTTCTCCATGAGGTACATCACAGTCTTCTTGCCCTTAGGAACACTAGCCAGCAATTCAACATTCTCTTTGGAGACCATTTTAAAAAGTGAAATTGCCAGCCAATAAAAACATAAAAATACAAAGAACGTGGCAATAAATAGACCAGGAGAAGGGCACTTGTTTACAAAATAAGAGCTGAAATGAGAAGAAAGAGCATTGCTTTGTTTGGCCTCAGCTGAGAACATGGGCATTAGACAACTCGATTTTTTTGAAACTTTACATGTGTCCATGAATGACCATGAGAGTGCTACAAGTATTGATCTGGGGGTTACAAATAAATTTTAGCAAGCAGGTGGATTCACACATACAGAATCCATGAATAATGAGGACCATCTGTTCCTTATAAAACTTAAAATACTAAGTTAATGGAATAGGGAAGCAAATATGAAAAATCATTCTTTTTTCATTGTCAAGTCTTATTTAAAAATGGGAGGAAAGTATTGTAGTGAAAATGACAAATTACTCTTTTAAGAGTTTTATTATGAACAAAATAAGACCCTGTTAAGCACTTAAACTTTTAATTACAACAAACCACTAAGGTGGTTAACACTGTTATGCCCATTTACAGATGTGGAAACTGCGGCTTAGAAAAGAAAGCAGCCCTGACCAGTGTGGCTCAGTTGGTTGAGCGTCATCCCATGCAGCAAAAGGTCACCGGTTCGATTCCCCAGCAGGGCACATGCCTGGGTTGCAGGTTCTATCCCCAGTAAAAAGTGTGCAGGAGGCAGACTATTAATGTTTCTCTTTCACATTGATGTTTCTCTCTTTCTGTCTCCCTCTCCCTTTCTCTCTCTCTAATAAATAAATAAATAAGTAAATAAATAAATAAACAAACAAATAAATAAATAAAATTTTTTAAAAAAGAAAGAAAAGCATATTCCCCAAGCTCACCCAGCTATTAATTGGCTGAGCTAGTACTCAATGTAAGCTCAAAGATCAGAGTGCTCCTACAACTCTAGGAAATATGGCTTTCCTAAATTTAATTCTAGGCTCTCATTTTGAAATCAGTTGATAAAGTTACCACAATGCCATTTTTTAGCTAGAATGTAGTTGCTTTTTTTAAAGTTTTTCCTTTGTTCATGTTCTTGTAAACATTCTATCTAAATCATTCATCTTAACCATGCACAGTCATTCTGTTGACATTCTTGTAAACTCCGTGGAACATAAAAGAGCAAAATGTAACCTTTCAGATAACACAATCCTGTTTTTCTTGTATTTGTTCAGGAATACACTCTTTTGTATACAAGCTTACAGTACTTTCCCAGAAAGGAGGAAATGTGTTCTTTCAGGAACACAGATGGTAAATACTTGTCACACCTCAAAAATACTAACTCTTCTTTATATTTTGTTATAAATAATAGGGAATGCTGTCATTTTGTTTAACAAGTTTCAGTTATTTCTTACTATACACAGAACAAAGTAAAACTCCTCAGCCTGGCATTTAGAGTCCACAACATGAGTCCGACTTCCTCCATAGCATTCCTCGATGCTTACTCTGCTCCATCCAACCCATTCAGTTTGCTGCCACTTCAAACACCTTTTCCCTCCAACTCCTGGGTCATTCTTTATACCATTCCTTCTACTTGGCTCTCTTACTTCCCAATACCTCTAGACGCAAAAATATGGTCCCTGCTATACCACCTCAGTGTCTCCCGGTCACAATTAGTTTATTCCACCTTCATAGCTCCTATATGTCCTTGTCTTTAAGAAAGTGACTACACATCATAGGTGCCCAACATATGTTAGTCAAACTTAAACGAAAGAGCCATGAATATCTACGACATATGCATATCTGTTAGTGTTGGGGTCCAACCCCAACAGGTCCAGGGGTCCCCAAAGGTGTGGACGGAGTCGGCGAAGAAGGAATGACACGGAGACAGCCTTCAGTTGATCAGCAGCCTAGCCAGGATCTCTAGCCAGGACCTCCAGCGAAGTTCTGGTCAGGATCTTTAGCCATGTTCTCTCCCTAGGTTCTCCAGCCAGGTTCTCCAGCCAGGTTCTATCCAGGTTCTCCTGCCATGTTCTGTCTAGGTTCTACAGCCAAGTTCTGTAGCCAGGTTCTGTCCAGGATCTTTTGCCATGTTCTCTCCCTAGGTTCTCTCTCTAGGTTCTGTCTCTAGGTTCTATCTCTAGGTTCTGTGTTGAGTTTAATTTTTCAATATGACTGCCCAATTACCGTATATCAGTCCAACTTGTAAAAAGTCCATTTCCCCCAACTGACATAGCTTTCATTTCCATATACAATTGGTTTATTTCTAGACTTTGAATTCCATTTCATTAGTTATTCTGTCTGTTCATGGCCTAGTATTAATATTAGTTTTAGAAACTTCTTATAGCTTAATAACTGATGGAGCTAGCTATCTTCTAGGTTCTTTTTAAAATGAGGTTTTTCTTGTTTATTCTTTCCATTGAACTTTATAATCAATTTGTCTCGCTCCAGAAAGTAACTTGAAGCATTTTACTACCATTATGTTACATTTACAAAGGAAAAATTTGTGAGACATACATCAGAGGTTCTCCAGATCTGGCTTGTACTGGAAGAGAACTCTGACTTTGTTGAGTTATAGTTCCTCTAGAGTAGATAATAAGAAACCTACTTAAGTATGAGTGCCTGTCCTTGATTGCTTGGGGACTGTTGTCAGTGAGTCAGCAGCCTGACAACAATACTTGGATTTCTGCTGTCTCTCTTGGTTTCTGTTGTTGCCAGACATAGATTGTCCTTAAAAAGTCAGGATGCTTTATTACCATGGGAAGACATGAGAAAAGTGTGTAACTCTGGGATATCTGCTCTTGATACTCATCATGCTGTGGGAGGAAATGCATGGAACAATGATACTTCCAGAGCGGAACAGATAACAGAAAAGTGACCTCTATCAGAATCCCCAAAAGATAAAGTAAAAAAAAAAAAAATAATAATTCAGTCAGATTTTACGCCACTAGTCTGTTTGAGAGAAGCCTGTGATTTTTATGTATAGTTTATGCAAAAAGTACACCTCTTAACTCTTGTAAGTAGTACACCTCTTTCCTCTATACTTCGTGAGTGAGTGACACACACACATACCCCCCGACAGTTCCATGAGACTTGGTATTTGGTAAAATGATGGTAAAGATTAGTATTGAACTTTACTGTGTTTTCCCTTTTGCTTGGAACCTGACACAGAAACTATTGAGATGATTCAAAGTGTGTAGAAGGTCAAATTTTTTTATATATAAGCTGACTTCTGACCACGAAGCTGATCTTCTTTCTATGTTAGTCCTCTCTTTAATGATTTTGCATCTGTCTATCCTATTTTATCTTTCCCTCACTCCTCATCAGTGGTTACTTTGTAGGGAGAAGGGCAATGTGAAAAAATTAAGGTAGGAGAATGAATTGTGCAAAATCTGGGGAAAAAATACAGGGATGCTATTTCTTCTTGGAGCTGATTCTTTGTGTGTGGCCATCTTCTATAGATGGAGTTGTTTACGCCTGGGGCCACAATGGATATAGCCAGCTTGGGAATGGGACAACCAACCAAGGCATTGCTCCCATCCAAGTCTGTACCAATCTCTTGATCAAACAAGTGGTTGAAGTAGCTTGTGGCTCCCATCATTCAGTGGCTTTGGCAGCTGATGGAGAGGTAAGTACCTTGCTTTTATTCTTTATTTTCTAAATTGTGCTAAAATACACATAATATAAAATTTGATATCTTAACCATTTTAAGTGTACAGTTCAGTGCCATTAACTACACTTACATTGTTGTGTAACCATCACCACCGTTCATCCACAGAACTCTTTTTATCTTGCAAAACTGAAATTTTATACCTATTAATCATTAACTCTCCATTTCCTCTTTCCTGAGCCCTTGGCAATCACTTTCTGTATCTATGAATTTAACTACTCTAGGTGCCTCCTATGAATAGAATCTACAGTATTTTTCCTTTTATGACTACCTTATTTAACATAGCAAAATGTCTTTAAGATTTATCCAGGTGGTAGCATGTGTCAGAATCTCCTTCCTTTTTAAGGCTAAATAATATTCCATTATATTTATATGCCACATTTTGTTTATTTGTTTATCTGTTGCTGGATATTTGGGTTGTTTCTATCTTTTAACTATTGTGAAAGTGCCAAAAATATAATGACCATATTGTATTTGGTATAGTGTGAACATAGTAGCTCTGTGTGTGTAGCTAAACACAATGTAGGAACATACTCTTTTTCTAACACATCCTGTATTATGTGATCAGGAACACTCTTTGATGATGGTAGATTTCAGTCTTAAAGCAGTTGCATCTCGTGCTGTTTACTAAGACTACAAATTAGAGGTGTATGACAGTGTTCTGTACTTTTTTTTTAAATTACCCCATCCCCTTTTTTTTTTTCCAGTAAATGTAATGATGTCAGAAAATAACTTTACCAACATTCCAGTAGGAGCAGTACTATTTGTTTACCCCACAAGTTCCATGTTTATCTTAAAGGTTACTCATCCTGTTGACTCTACTTTCTAATCTCATATCATTTTGTTCCTCTCCATCTCCATAATCTTAGGTCAGGCCTTGTTACTCTGATGTCTTATTCCACAGCTTTTTCATTGGTCTACCTGTCTAGTATTATTTCTCCACCTCCTGTGATTTCTAAAACACAAAGCAGGTCATATTGTTCCCTGTTTAAAGTTCTTCAATTGTGTTACAGTGATTTTACTACATAGGATGGGTTATGCATGGAGAAACCAAAGAAGCTCAGGGAGATCAAGGTTTCATAGCTGGGGTGGGGTGGAGCCAGGCTAGCATATAGGCATTATGCCCCAGAATCCACTGTTTCCTAGTCTGCTTCTTGGTTAGAACTACAATCCCCATCTCTCTATATAAAAGCCTAAGCAACTGAATGACCTTTTGACTGGTCACTATGATGCGCACTGACCACTAGGGGGCAGACGCTCAATGCAGGAGCTGCCCCCTGGTGGTCAGTGCGTTCCCACAGCAGGAGGAGCACCGCTCAGCTGACTGAGGGGCACCAGACGCCGGGCTCATGGGCTCACAGATGGTGAGCGCAGCTGCGGTGGCACGAGCCTCTCCCGCCTCCACAGCAGCATGCTACCGAGTGGCGGAGGTGGCAGGCACCAGCAGGGCCAGGATGAGCAGGAGCGATGCAGTGCCCGGTCTCCTCCTCAGCTCTCTGCTGCTTCGCGCACTACTACATCCCTCAGGGGATGTCAGACTGCCAGTTTTGGCCTGATCCCCACAGATCAGGCAGAAACTGGCAGTCTGACATCCCCCGAGGGGTCCCGGATTGTGAGAGGGCACAGGCCAGACTGAGGACCCCATGTGTGCACGAATATGTGCACCAGGCCTCTAGTTTTTAAAATAAAAGACAGTCGCATTGCAAGGGAACTAGGATATTTGAGAAGTGCCAGAAGAATGATTGTTGAAATTGGAACTTACTAATTTGTACAGTTTAGATTCCTGGTAATTTTTACCTTAAGCATATGTTACTTTGGATAATTTGCCGGGAGCCGGTCCATCCTTGCTGTTTCAAGGGACCTGGCATATATGGCATACTGTTCTTAATATGTTTGCTTACCTTCTTGGCGCTATGTGTTTTAACCGAGGTCACCTCTCTGAGAAAGGTTGTTTCCCCAGGTGGGGATTTTTCCCTGAGGTTAGGGAGGGGATACAACCCCTTAATTAAGTGCCAGGAGGGTAGTTAAGCTACATAATCTTTACTCCCTGGAATGGAGATAAGAAACGCCCTAACCTTTGTAATAGAAATTGACAGGATTAAAATCGGCTGGTATAAATACGGATGTAACAAGACAATAAACATCAGATCCTCATCAGCTCCTCATCAGCTCCTCATCAGCTCCTAACCAGAACCTAGCCAGAGAACATGGCAAAAGATCCTGGACAGAACCTGGCTACAGAACTTAGACAGAACATGGCAAAAGAACCTGGATAGAACCTGGCTAAAGAACCTGGTGACTGAACCTGGCTGGAGAACCTGGAGAACAACCTGGAGAACCTGGCTGGAGAACCTAGCGAGAGAACATGGCACCAGAACTTGGTTGGAGATCCTGACCAGAACTTGGTTGGAGTTCCTAACCAGAACTTCGCTGGAGATCCTGGAGGGAGAACCTCGCTATGCTGATGAACTGAAACCAGTTTCCATGTCATTCATTCTTCGCCGACTCCGTCCACACCTTTGGGGACCCCTGGACCCGTTGGGGTTGGACCCCAACAATAATTGTGCTAAATATTTGCATTATTATACTAGACTAGTAGCCCATCGTGCAATATTGTGCGCAGTAGGCCGCCCGCCACTTCTGCGGGAGCCGGTGGGAACCGCAGCGCGCCTCCAGGAGCCGTGCTGCTTCTACGGAGCCGTGCAGCTTCGGCAGGAGGCAGAAGTGAGCTGCTGGTGTCCATGGGAGCCGGGAGGGAGCCACGTCGCTTCTGCGGGAGGCAGGCCCGCTGTCTCCTCTCCGGGCCTGCGCTCATCCGAGGAGGCTGTGGGCCAGCCCCCCTGTCCCTGTCTGTGTCCACTCCAGCTCTGGGAGGCTGGCCTATGTTATGATGTGGAACTATGATTGATAATTATAATAATGACTAGAGGCCCGGTGCACAAAAATTTGTGCACTTGGGGGGGTCCCTCAGCCTGGCCTGTGCCCTCTCGCAGTCTGGGACCCCTCAGAGGATGTTCACCTGCTGGCTTAGGCCCACTCCCGGGGGGATTGGGTCTAAGCTGGCAGTCAGGCATCCCTCTGGCAGCCCGGGAGCCCTTGGGGGATGTCCACTTGCCAGCGGGGAGCAAACCCAAGCTGCAGTCGGACATCCTTAGCGCTATTGAGGAGGCGGGAGAGGCTCCCACCACCAACGCTGTACTGGCAGCCGTCAGCCTGGCTTGTGGCTGAGCAGAGCTCCCCCTGTGGGAGCGCACTGAGCACCAGGGGGCAGCTTCTGCATTGAGCGTCTGCCCCCTGGTGGTTAGTGTGTGTCATAGTGACCAGTTATTCCCAGTTGTTCTGCTGTTAGGGTCAATTTGCATATTACCCTTTTATTATATAGGATGGTCCTGGGTCATTGGGAAAGGTTATGAATGTCCAGTATTGGACAGGGAAAAAGCATAGTATGGTTTTGAAAGTTTCCATAAATAAAAATGTTATGACCAAAGAGTTAAGCAGGTTTTCTTCATGTCACGATACTTATGTAGCATATACTTCATTTTAAATTGATGCCAGATTAACAAACATATATGACTGCCATAATTATAGAGGCAATGCAGTGTAGTGGTGAAGAGCACAGCTGGACTGTGTTGGGTTCAACTTCCACTTCTACTACTTGCTAACTCTGGAACCTCAAGCAAATCACTTAACCTCTCTGCATTTCCATTTCCATTTCCATGTGTAAAATGGGGATGGTAATAGTGTCTACCCCAGGGTCACAGTACAGGTTACTATGATGATTGAATAGGTTAATGCAGTAAAGCACTCAGCCATTTAGCACATTGTAAGTACTTTGTTAAGTGGGTTTATGATTGTAGAATTTTCACCCTTACCATTATCTCCCCCCCTCCCTTCTTTTGTGTAGGTATTTGCTTGGGGCTATAACAACTGTGGCCAGGTGGGATCAGGATCTACAGCAAATCAACCAACTCCTCGAAAAGTTACAAATTGTTTACATATTAAGAGGGTAGTAGGCATTGCCTGTGGTCAGACCTCATCCATGGCTGTTCTTGACACTGGTGAGGTGAGTTATCTTTGCATTCCCCTTTTTCCTCCCCCCTCTTCTTATAATGAAATGTCTTTTTTTCATAAGGTGCGTTTATTAGATTGTGGAGGCAAGAGTCCTTTGTTTTGATAACCCCATTGATAGCTAACTGGTTACTGACTGAGGAGTAACCAGAGAATGTTTGCTCCTCTGTGAATTTTGTTTCTAATTGATTTTAGAGAGAGGAAGGGAGAAGGGAGGGAGAGGGAAGGCAGGAGGGGGAGAGAGAGAGAGAGAGAGAGAGAGAGAGAGAGAGAGAAAGAAACATCAATGCGAGAGAGAAATATTGATTGGTTATCTTCCACACTCACCCCAACCAGGGGTCAAACCCACAACCTGAGTATATGCCCTGACCAGGAATCGAACCCACCACCTTTTGGTGTACAGGAATATGCTCCAGTCAACTGAGTCATACTGGCCAGGGCTTTAGTGTGAATTTTTTAATTTATCTGCAAGTAAAGATTCTAATGTGTCTAAATTTTATTTTTGTGGAAGATCCAAGTAGCTTAATGTTTATAGATATTTGTTTGCGATTTAATCAACCAATTAAAATTTTACATACCTCATTCTTCCAATGAAAAAATCAACTGTGCACTCTTTGAAGTTCGCTGGTGATGTTTATAGGCAGTTGATGACTCCAGTGGGCATGTTGTCTCTGTAGAACTACCTGCCTATATCTGGAATGTTCGTTCACAGGAAGAAGCAACTTGCAAAAGCAGAATCTTTTTAGTCATGATTGTCGTTGGCTACTTTTAAAAACCCACCTTTCAGTGACCCTCTCTCATGGTCACCTTCGAATGAATGGTTATTTTTAAGAAATTATTCTGGTTGCAACTTCTACTTAAATGGACCTGTCACCACCTCTGCATGACTTAGTACACAAAAATTACCCAAAAATACATCTTTGGGCACACACATGTGGAATCGTGCCTTGGGTGATAGAGTGCTCCCCTGTGTTCATTTATTTTTGGAATCAACCCTGATATCCTGGATGACTTAGAATTCCTTGGGATAGTCATATGACATCTCCCATTCCAAGAAGGAAGTATTCTTCACTTCCTTTTTAAAAATAAATTTAATTTTAAGAAGATTATTATGTGGTTATTTTAACAAAGGAAAACAAATGAAATGAAACATATAAAGTAAAATGTGAATACCTTTTCTCCAATCTTGTTAATAGTTTGATGTATATCCTTTTGGACTTTCTATAAATAATTATATATGGAAAAATATAATTACCTTTTTAAAGAATGGGATTATTATGCCTACTGCTTTGCTCTGTTATTCTGTAAATTCCCTATTTAACAACATGTGTTATACCTGAATATATTCTCAGACCATCTGTAACTGCTTTTTATATACTAACTAGAGGCCCGGTGCACAAATTCGTGCATGGGTGGGATCCGGCTGGCCCACCCTAATTGGGACTGATCAGGCTGGGCTGGCTTGGGGGAGGGGCCACGGGCAGTTGGCCGGGTGGCGCCCCTGCCCCCGATCAGGGTTGGGGGGCCGATCAGGGGCGGGGCCAGCTGGGGGGTGGGGCCTGGAGAAGACCTACTGAGCTGGAGCTGAGCATGGGCCCCAGGGTTCCCAGGGAGGACAGCCTCAGCAAGGAAACAGAAACCACCAGAAGGCTCTGCAAACAGGCCCTGAGTTCCCTTTGGCCAGGTGGACTCAGAGCTGGTGTCTCTGTGTGTACCTTAGACATAGCCGGCACTTGCCTTGGTCTGTTGGTCAAATACATTGCATTGAAAAACTTGTTTCCCTTCTTTTCTTTGGGCCCTTACAACAAATATAATCACCTGGAATTTAGGCCTAAGACAACTGGGTAGCAATCTCCACAGAACAGAACACACTGTTTTAGAGTCTTAATTCTCCTCTAAAATGTGCCCAGCTGCTCCTCTTTAGCTGGGATAGACTGAACTAAGGAACCAAAGACCGAGTTTCCTTTGAGGTGGGATCCACTGGGAGCCGGCTGGTGGCAAGGCCCCTCACAGGCGGCTGCCTTTCCCCCAAGCTCGGTGTGCTCTGAGCCAGTCTGTTTCTGGTAGTGCTGGGTCCTGGGCTGCTGGTTGGGTGGCAGTCCACAGGGTTTTTCTCCACCACCTTCCTGGCCTCCCAAGCAGTACCCTCTGGCCCGGTGTGCCAGGTGGCTGTCACTAGAGCCGGGACATGGAGAGCAAAGGAGCTGGACCTGCAGGTGGCTAGGCCGCGCCCCCTCACCCCACTTCTGTCTTGCTCCTGTGGATTGAGCCAAAACCCACTGCCCGAGACTGACACCATGTGGGGAGGGTCGCAGCAAGGAGAGGGGTGCCCTGACCTGCCAGCCTTGATGACGATCATCTCGGTGCCCAGCTGATTGAATTCATCCCACAGAGCCTTCATCTCACGCTGGCCACCTTCGTGTTCTTCTTTACTGGCACATTGGCAGCAGCCATGCATCTGGCCCTGGGGCCCTCAGGCTCAGCAGCAGTGGTGGTGGTGGCCCCTGTGGCCGGCGTGTCATAGCAACCGGTCGTTCCGGTTGTTCCGCTGTAATGGTCACTGGGCTTTTATTATATAGACTAGAGGCCCAGTGCATGAATTCGTGCACAGGTGGGGTCCAGCTGGCCGGGCCCCAATCAGGGCAGATCGGGGCTAGGCCTGTTGGGAGGAGGAGATGGTGGGAGATTGGTTGGCCAGACTGCCCTGATCGGGGCTCGATTAGGGCCAGGCAGGCTGGGGGGAGGGGCTGCGGGTGATTGGCTGGTGGGCCCCGCCCCCGATTGGGGTTGGGGGGCCAATTGGGGGTGGGGCCGACTGGGGGCCAGCGGCCTCGGGGAGGGGCCATGGGTGGTTGGCCAGCCGGCCCTGCCCCTGATCAGGGTGTGGGGGGGGGGGGGATCTGGGTTGGAGCCGGGTGCGGGGAGGGGTTGCAGGTTGATCGGGGTGGGGGGGGCCCATAGGAGGGGGGGCCAGCTGGGGGGAGGGGATACGGGAGGGTGGCCAGCTGGCCCTGCCCCCTGATCGGGCCGGTTTGCTGGCCACAGTGGGCATTATAGCGACTGGTCATCCTGTTACAGCATTACGGTCGCTGGCTGTCGCTGGCTTTTTATATATATAGACTAGAGGCCTGGTGCACAAAAATTTGTGCACTCGGTGGGGGCGGAGGGGGGTCCCCCAGCCCGGCCTGTGCCCTCTCACAGTCTGGGACCCCTCGGGAGATAACGACCTGCTGGCTTAGGCCTGCTCCCGGGTGGCAGAGGGCACGCCCAATCCCTAAGTGCAGCCCCTGGTCAGGCTCAGAGCAGGGCCGACTGGGGAGTTGGGGCACCGCCCCCTGTCATGCACAGAGCAGGGTGGATCGGGAGGTTGCGATGCCACCCTCAGTCACGCTCAGGGTAGGGCCGATTGGGGGGTTGGGGCACCGCCCCTGTCACACTCAAGGCAGGGTCAATGGGGAGGTTGCGGTGCCACCCCCTGTCGCGCACAGAGCAGGACCCATCAGGGGGGTTGGGGCTCCGTACCCTGTCACTCACAGAGCAGGGCCAATCAGGGGGTTGGGGCGTTGCACCCTGTCACACTCAGGGCAGGGCCAATGGGGAGGTTATGGCTCTACCCTGTCACACACAGAGCAAGGCCCGTGGAGGGGGGTTGGGGTGCCACCCTCTATCACCCACAGAGCAGGGCCAATCAGGGGTTGGGGCGCCGCCACTGTCACACTCGGGGCAGGGCCGATGGAGAGGTTATGGCTCTACCCTGTCACACACAGAGCAGGGCCCGTGGGGTGGGGGGGGGGGGGGTTGGTGTGCTGCACCCTGTCAAACACAGAGCCACAGGGCAATCAGGGGATTGGGGAGCTCCCCCCTATCAGGCACAGAGCAGGGCTGATCAGGGGGTTGGGGCGCCTTCCCCTGTCATGAACAGAGCAGGGCGGATAGGGAGGTTGTGGCCCCGCCCCCTGTCACAGAGCTGCAGGGTGATCAGGGGATTGGGGAGCTCCCCCCTATCAGGCACAGAGCAGGGCTGATCAGGGGGTTGGGGCGCCTTCCCCTGTCTCGAACAGAGCAGGGCAGATAGGGAGGTTGTGGCCCCGCCCCCTGTCACTCACAGAGCCGCAGGGCGATCAGGGGGTTTGGGCGCTGCCCCCTGTCACGCTGATCCCGGTGCCGGAAGCCTCGCTGCTCCGCTGATCCCGGTGCCGGGAGGCATATTACCCTTTTACTATATAGGATAGAGGCCTGGTGCACGGGTGGGGGCCGGCTGGTTTGCTCTGAAGGGTGTCCTGGATCAGGGTGGGGGTCCCCACTGGGGTGCCTGGCCAGTCTGGGTGAGGGGCTGAGGGCTGTTTTCTGGCTGGCGAGTGACTGAAGCTTCCAACCGCTCCTTGTTTTCTTTTTTTTTTTTGTTTATTCTGGGCCAGCTTTAGCTCTGAGGCCTCGCTGCTGAAAACATCGATACAATGTTGTGGTCCAGCTGGCTGAACCTGGCTGACTGAAAGCCGGTTTCTGGGGTTTTGTTTAGCTTCTTATTTGCAACATAGTACATAGTTGCTTAGAGTTGCAGCTGAGAGGCCGGCAGCGGCAGGCGGGGAACGTTGGAGTCCGCAGTCACTGGAGCAAGCAAGCCTCCCTGCTCGCTTCAGTGCATGGCTGCCGGCCGCCATCTTGGCTGACAGTTAATTTGCATAAGGATATGCTGATTAGCCAATGGGAAGGGTATCGGTCGTACACTAATTACCATGTTTCTCTTTTATTAGTGTAGATGGCTGCTTAGTGTTCCTTGTATGGGTGACCAGAGCTCTACTGATAGACATTTCAATTGTTTCTAATATTTTGTTGCTACAAACAATGTTGCACTGACTTTCTGTGTAACTCTGTGTGTGTGTGTGTATCTTTGTACACTTAGGCAAGGATTTCTATAGAATAAGTTCTCAGAAATAAGATTTCTGGGTCAGTGAGTATGTCATTAGAATTTTTGATGTCTATTGCCACATTTATCTCCAGAAAGTTCAAACCTATTGCACTTCTGATATTGAAAGTGCTTTTTAACCATATGTTGCTAGTACCCAAAAGTCCATGTTCCCTTGTTCCCCTCTGTCACATCGCCCTGAGAAGCCCTAGCTGCCCTGGTTGGTGTGGCTCAGTTGGTTAGTGTATCTTCCCATACACCGAAAGTTTGCAGGTTCGATTCCTGGTCAGGGCATATGCCTAGTTTGTGGGTTTGATTCCCGGTCCGGGTGCCTACGGGGAGGCAACCAGTCAATGCTTCTCTCTCACACTGATGTTTTTCCCTTTCCCTCTCTCTAATATCAACAAGCATGTCCTTGGGTGAAGATTGGGGGGGAAAAAAAAAGCCTCAGCCAATTCTTACTTGCCCTGCATTGCCATGGGGCGTGGTACCACCACACATCTTGGGTTTCTAATTTGATTTAGACCCTTTATTGTTCCTGGTCAATAGTTTTTCCTATGTCCCACGCTGGCTATTCTAAACTTCTAACAGTCCTGTCACACCTATGCCCAACCCTGCTACTTTCAGCTGATGACTCCCCTTTCACTCCACATCTCTATCACCACATTCTGTCACATCCCCCTCTTTAATTTAGTTCCTATCCATTCCCTCTCTCTTGATCCCTCTGCCACTATGTTGGCTTGGAATGCCATCAGAGCTCACCTGTTTGCTAAAGAGAGACCAATTTATCTACTGACTAGAGTCCTGGTACATGAGTTTATGCATGGATGGGGTCCGGCCAGCCCGCCCTGATTGGGGCCAGTTGGGCTGGGCCAGCCAGGGGGTGGGTACACGGGAGGTTGGCCGGCCGGCCCTGCCCCCGACTGGGGTGGGAGGGGTGGTTGGGGGCGGGACTGGCCAGGAGGAGGGGCTGCAGGCAGTTGGCGGGGCCAGCCCCGCCCCCTGGTCGAACTCTGGTTGAACTCCTGGTTGAGGGGACAGTTTGCATATTACCCTTTTATTATATAGGATTGGTCTTCCTGCCTCTTCCTTCTAACACATTCCAGTTCCCCTTCATGCTGCAGCCAGCATGATCTTTCCAAAATGAAAATGTAAGCATATTAATTTCTGTTTTTTAAATATTTCAGTGAAAGACCCATAGAAGCATTCCACTTTCCCTGGTATGTGTTTTAACACTTTATCCCCTTGGCCCTTACCTTTCCTTCTAGTCGTTTCTCCTTCTACTATCCCATGTATGTCCAGCCAGGCCCACCTACTTGTCTTCTGAACCTGCCTCCAACACATTCTGTGTCCTCCCCCTGGAGTGCCTTCCCCCTCATCCATCATTCAGCCCTGCCCAAATCTCCACTTTCTCAAAAGTCTTTCCTTCACTTTCTTTCTGTAGCCAAATCCTTTCTCCTCTCTGCTCCTACGTGCCTAGATTATATCTCTGTTATAGCAATTGCCACTTGGCTACAGAAAATTTGCATAGTTCATCCCCCCTGTTAAACTGTGATTAAAGATGCATTCCTAGTACCTTTCACAAGGTCCTGACAGGTAGGTGCTTAATAATTGTTAGTGAACCTCAATTTCCTCACGTGTAAAACAAAGATTAATGACTTGCCCAAGATTATCCAGCTAGTGAGTTATGGAGTAGGAACTGATGCAAAATTCTGTTCATTCTCCACCCCTAAAACATCTATTTGGAGATCAGTGTAGGATCACACAGAGTAGAGTATGGATGTTGGAAGTGAAAAAAGTGTAACTGATTTGTTTATCTGTTCCCTCTTATTAGCACTTTTAAAAGCCCATTCTCTCCTTTTTTCTCTCCAAGGTGTATGGCTGGGGTTACAATGGCAACGGTCAGCTGGGCTTGGGAAACAATGTTAATCAGCTGACCCCTGTGCGAGTGGCAGCTTTGCACAGTGTGTGCGTGAACCAGGTATGTGTAGTAGACTCTTGGCTGCTGGTCTCCATCTAGCGTCCCTGCTCTGACTTGGAGGAATATTGGAAATTTACTCGTCAATAAATCTTTTAGGATAATACTCTGTCCCTGAGTCTTTCACGTCCAATATTATATCTTCCCTAAATTCTGATGATGAAAAGGAACACCATGGTGGTAGCACATCAGTATTGACGAGTAAAAATAAAGATTGGAAAAACTCAGTAGTCTCAGGTTTAGGCTTTCCTAATGCTGTTTTAATGTTTCAGAGAATGTTACTCCACACCTGATGATGAATTGGCATTCTGTAGAAGCTGGCTGTAATCTTTAAGTAGATGTTTTCCCTGTCCTTCCTGTTTTCCTGTTTATGGTAATCATTTAAATTTACTTGCAGATTGTCTGCGGCTATGCACACACTCTAGCACTAACAGATGAGGGCTTGCTCTATGCCTGGGGAGCTAACACGTATGGGCAGCTTGGAACTGGCAATAAAAATAACCTGCTAAGCCCAACACACATCATGGTGGAGAAAGAAAGGTAACTTGGCTGTAGTATGTCTTGGGGTTGTGTGTGCATTGTGGACTTAGGACTGTGTGTGCTGGAGCTGTGGTGTTTGGCTTTGTAACTCTTGTTTATTAACATTCTCATTTTGAACAAAGAGTTGTAGTACCAACTAGAATGAGCATAAAGTTGATATGATTCTTATGAGCTCTCTAAAATAACCTGATTGACAGGCATTAATACATCCTGGTATAATTCCTACAGACTTCTTGTTGCCCATTTAGTAGGGAAGTGAAATAAGGTCTGTCACTATCTTGAAGTACAAACTTTTCTGTTGAGCCAACTAAAACAACATCTAAATAAATAAAATCTGCCCTTGAAAGGTCATTATCTGTTTAAATATTGATTTGATGTAATGTGTGTTACTGAAATAGATGCGTAGTGTTTATTCAGCCAAATTGTGAGGTTTTACTTGCTAAGTTTTAGAATGTCGACTTCTGATTCTGGGTCCCTGCCTAAGAAGCTGTCTGAGAAATGTAGTAACTTTGGCTTGATGTCCATTTGGCTTTGGGTGTTCAGAGTTCATAACCCCTAGATCAGAGCTTATCAGCCTAATGAGTGTTGTGAGCTCTTTTAGGGATGAGAGAAAAAGTTGTATTTGAAAGGAAATTACCATTTCGAAGACAGTATTTTTTTTTTTTTTGCTACAGTTTAAGCTGCTACAACCGTCAGCACATTTTGTCAGAGTCCACTTTACTCATTTACTTTGGTTTTGTTAGGTCTGATCAAATAATTGAATCAATACCCTTTCCCCTGGGAACTGACTTTTAGGCCACTTCACAGTGGACATTGGTAAGGGTTTATACATTTATTAGGTCATCTGGATACCAGATGGGCTGAGCCCCGAAATGGTGCCAGCCCATCTGGTACCCAGATGACCTCATCTATATATATAAAAGCCTAAGCGACCCTTATGACCGAACGACCGGAACAATTGGTCCACCAGTTGCTATGATGCACACTGACCATCGGGGGCAGATGCTCAACCCAGGAGCTGCCCCCTGGTGATCAGTGCACTCCCACAGCCAACCTCCCGCGGCCCCTCCTGTGGCCCCTTCCCCACCCTGGCTGGCCAACCTCCCATGGCCTCTCGCCCTCGGCCAGCCAACCTCCCCCAGCCCCTCCCCCCAACGGCCAACCTCCCGGGGTCCCTCCCCCCGCCAGCTGGCCCCCCGATAGGCCTGTGCATGAATTCGTGCACCGGGCCTCAAGTAAATTTATAACCCCTTACCACTTTGGCCTCGTGTGCGTTCCTCCTTTGGCGACCCTAACAGGTTTCTATTCCCTTTTTCCAAGTTTTCCTCAGTAGTTATGCATTATTTATCTTAGGAAGAGGTTAGGAAGAGAAGTTAGGGGCACTCAGGAGAGGAGAAATACAGTACTCTTGCTCTGATCTTTTGGTTTTGTCTACAGGACATGATAGCGAATGTTTCTCAGTCTTGAGCTATTTTTTGAGGTGTTCTAAGCATGAACTTTTTATTTACTTTGTGTGATATGTTGTGGGCTTTTGTAGTATAGAAGTGACATCCATTTTTCTTAAAATTTTTCAGAGTAGTAGAAATTGCAGCTTGCCACTCTGCCCACACATCTGCTGCCAAGACCCAGGGAGGGCACGTGTACATGTGGGGCCAGTGCCGGGGCCAGTCCGTGGTCCTGCCTCACCTCACCCACCTCTCATGCACGGACGACGTGTTTGCCTGCTTTGCCACTCCCGCCGTCTCCTGGCGCCTCCTGTCTGTAGGTAAGAAAGCTCAGGGCTGTTTCCACCCAGGAAAAATAGTCCTATCAGCTGACCAGTTTGCTTGCATATTTCCTGTTTGCGGGCTTTTTTAGGTTCTAGAATGTTTTATTTTTTATTAAATTTAATATCTTTCCTCAAATTAGATTTGCATAATAAAATTTATTAATATGTTATGAAACATTTTATGGATTATTTTCTCCCCTTAAGTGCTTTCATTTTAATTGAGGTGAAATACATATACATAAAATTAACCATTTTAATTCAGAGTCATTTATCACATTCACAGTGTTGTGCAACCATCATTGATATCAAGTTCTAAAACAGTTTCATCACCCTAAAAGAAAACCCTGTACCTAGTAAGCAGCCACTCTCTATTCTCCCTTCTCCCTCCAGCCACTGGCCAATTTGGTTTTTGTTTTATGCATTTTTCTATTTTGGATATTTTATAATAGCATAATACAATATGCAACATTTTATGTCTGGCTTCTTTTACTCAATGCTTTTGAGGCTCATTCATGTTGTAGCATTTATCGGTACTTCATTCCTTTTTATAGCTGAATAGTATTCCATTGTATGTATACACCACATTTCATTTATTGATGTATATTTTGTTTATTGATGTATATTTGGATCGTTTCCATCTTTTAAACATTGTGAATAATGCTTTTATGAACATTCATGTACAAATATTTGTTTGAATAACCTGTTCCTAAGTGCTTTTATTGTTATACTGGTACTTGATTTATTACATAATTCAATATAATATTATACAAAATTGAATTTTTAAAAAACTGAAGAACTTGTGGTTTTTTTAAGGTGGTGTTTTAATCTTTCTTTCTCCCTTTTTCTTACAACCAATCTCAAATACTTTTATTTTAGAAGGGCATCAAAACTGTGGTGTTTGAAAGGGTAGTGGAATTCAAGGTATTTTTTGGTTACATAACCTGTCCATTTTCTGAATACTATTTCCTTTAAGAGTTCATTATTGGTTGAAAGTGTTAAGCTGTCATAAAGCTGAGTAGCTGTAAGATATTTTAATCTTTTAATGTTATTTCGTGTTCATTTCTGCCTTTTTGCCAATGTATTTCTTCTAAGTTATTCTATTGTTAACATGAAGAGAAAATAAATAGGTCATGATGCCTCGTGTTTGAACATTAGCATAGCTCTTGACCACCAAGGGGTTTGGGTTACTCAGCAATTGATATTGAAGGCTAGTCTTATAACACATGTCATGTTGAGCTGTGTCAGACAGCTGGAGCTGTCCCATCATCAGGTGACCAGTTTTTAGGTCACCTGGATACCAGATGGGCTGAGTCCCAAAATGGCGCCAGGCAGGAGTATGTTTAAGAAGAGTTAAGCTGCTGCTCAACTTAAAGCGAAACATTGAACATTTTCATATATATTTTGTAATAAAGCAAGTTTTACAGTGAATATTGTGATTAGAAAAATTTAGTTCACCATAAATATCCTAGAAGAAAGCAAGCAGTAAAATCTTGAACATTTCTTGAAGCAGTATTTTTTTCTGATATAAAGCTTCAGGGAAGGGAGTCGAAATAAAAATAAACAAATGGGACAACATCAAAATAAAAAGTTATTGCACAGCAAAGGAACCCATCAACAAAATGAAAAGACAACATACTGAATGGGAAAACATATTCGCCAATGATATATCTGATAAGGGATTAATATTCAAAATTTATAAAGAACTTACACAACTCAACACCAGGAATACAAACAACCCAATTAAGAAATGGGCAAAGGACCTAAATAGACAGTTCTCCAAAGAGGACATACAGATGACCAGTTGAATATGAAAAAATAATCAATGTTACTAATCATCTGAGAGATGAAAATTAAAATGACAATGAGGTATCACCTCACACCTGCCACTATGGCTGTCATCTACAAATCAACAAAAATAAGGCCTGGCGAGTATGTGGAGAAAAGGGAACCCTGTTGCACTGTCGGTGGGAATGCAGACTGGTGTAGCCACTATGGAAAACAGTATGGAGTTTCCTCAAAAAATTAAAAATGTAACTGCCTTGTGACCCAGTGATCCCACTTCTGGGAATATATCCTAAGAATCCTTAAACACCAATCAAAGCATATATGTTCACCCTTATGTTCATGGCAGTATTATTTACATTAAGATCTGGAAACAGCCCAAGTGCTCATCAGTAGATAAGTAGATAAAAAATCAGTGATTAATTGATGGAAACAAGATGGTGGCATAGATAAATTCCAATACTTGCTGCCTCCCACAACCACATCAGTATTACAACTAAAACACAGGACAACCATCATTCAGAACCGCCTGAAATCTGGCTAAATGGAAGTGCCACAACTGGAGAATTAAAGAAGAAAGCACATTGAAACTAATAGGAGGGGCGGAGGCGCGGAATGGGCTAGTCTGACACCCGTGTGTGGCATTTTTTTAATCAGGAGGGATATATCGACTGTGGAGGCCTCCTGTGAGGAGCAAGGAGTCCCAGCGTCACATCAGACCCCTCAGCCCAGGGTTCCAGTGCTGGGAAGAGAAGTCCCCTAACTTTGGGCTGTAAAGACAAGTGGGGATTTTTTTTTTTTTTTTGTGGCTGAATGATGAGACTGCCGGAGTCCCAGTAGTCTCTTAAAGGGCTGGTGCATGGACTTACTTGGACTCACTCTCTCTGAGCTCCAGTGTTGAGGCAGTGGCTTGAGGAATCCAAGGACACATGGGGAGGAAAACTGGATTGTCTGGCATCAGGGGTGCTCATGGGATTCATTGTTCCTATGTTGAGACATCCCCAGTCGTAGGGCTGATTTGCAGGTGCCATATCTGAGGCTCCACCAACCTGGCTCACACTTCACTCTGCCCTGGTGATTCCCTGAGACCCCACCCCATCCAATTTGCAGCCCCACCCAAGCTGTTTGCAATGACTTTTCCTTATGAATGGCCTGTCTTGGCTCAGGTTTTAGACTTTCCAAAAATCTCAAACAAAAAGCAGCTGGAGTGAGTGTGCCCCAAACCTATCAATAAGAGGCCTAATCTTGGCACTAGCAGCAGCCTACCTTGCTTCACAGCTTGGCCTCTCCTGGGCACTTCCAAGCCCAACACAAACACAGCCATCTGCAGATTGCTGTGTAGCTCCTGCTGGGTGGCCCCAGGCAGTGGCTGACTTTGTACCTCCTGGGAGGCACCAGAGCCAGTGCACCCAGTGGACAGCTTCAGACCATACCAGATTACAGCTCTATGCATCCACAAGTGACACATACAAGGAGCAGATTCAGTGAGCACCAAAGCCCCACTGAAGCAAGTCCTGCTCCATGGGGTGTCTCCTGCACAGCAGCTCTTCCACTGTAGTTGCAGCTGGTCCTCACAGCCAATTGGCCTGGAGGTCATTTCCTCCCAGTGACACCAACAGCAATCAAGGCTCAACTACAACAAGACTGTGCACACAGCCCACACAGGGGTACACTTGGAGTGTCTAACGCAGGTGACTGGGGAAGCTGAGCCACTGGGCTCTGCAGGACACCTATTACACAAGGGCATTCTGCCAATTCCAGGAGACATAGCAACTCTACCTAATATATAGAAACAAACACAGGAAAACAGCCAAAATGTGGAGACAAATAAACATATCACAAATGAAAGAACAGAAGAAATATCCAGAAAAAGAACTACATGAACGGGAAGCAAACTGCTAGATGCAGAGTTTAAACAATGGTTATAAGAATGCTCAAGGGTCTTAATGAGAGTTCAAGGCGCTTAGTAAGAACTTCAGAGACATGAAAAAGGACCACTCAGAAATGAAGCATAGACTAACTGTAATAAAGAATAATTTACAGGGATTTAACAGTGGAGTAGAAGATGCCAAGAATCAAATCAATGATTTGGAATATGAGGAAGCAAAAAACACCCAATCAGAAGAGCTAAAAGAAAAAATAATTAAAAAATATGAAGATAGTAGAAGGAGCCTCTGGGACAACTTCAAGCATACCAACATTTGCATTATGGGGGTGCCAGAAGGAGAACAGAGACAGCAAGTTATTGAAAACCTATTTGAAGAATTAATGACAGAAAATTTCCCCTACCTAGTAAAAGAAACAGACTTAAACTCCAGGAAGCACAGAGAGGCCCACACCAAAAACATCATAATTAAAATGCCAAAGATTAAAAACGAAGAGAGAATCTTAAAAGCAGCAAAAGAGAAAAGCAGTTAGTTATATACAAGGGAGCGCCCATATGACTGTCAGCTGATTTCTCAACAGAAACTTTACAGGCCAGAAGGGAGTGGCAAGAAATATTCAAAGGGATGAATAGCAAGGACCCATAGTCAAGATTACTCTACCCAGCAAAGCTATCATTTAGAATTGAAGGTCAGATAAAGAGCTTCACAGACAAGATAAAACTAAAGGAGTTCATCACCACCAAACCAGTAATAAATGAAATGTTGAAGGGTATTATTTTTTTTCCATTTTTTAAATATATTTTTATTGATTTCAGAGAGGAAGGGAAAAGAAGAGAGAGAAACATCATTGATGAGAGAGAATCATTGATCAGCTGCCTCTTACAGGCCCCACACTGGGGATAAAGCCCGCAACCCAAGCATATGTCCTGACCGAGAATGGAACGATGATCTCCTGGTTCATAGGTCAACGCTCAACCACTGAGTCATGCTGGCTGGGCTTGAAGGGTGTTCTTTTAGAAGAGAAAGAAAAAACGAAGAAGGAATCTAATGAACAAAATAAACTGGTGAAGAAAATAAAGCCAGAAGCATGGAAACATGGAAGAGACTGACAAATCTCAGAGGAAAGAGGGGTGGAAGAGATTAACCAAAGAACTTATATGCACATATGCATTACCTAAGGACACAGACTTATAGGGTGGTAAAGGCCTGGGGTGGGGCGGGAACCAGGTCGAGGGGGACAGTGGAGGGGGAAGTGGGAGACATTTGTAATACTCTCAACAATAAAGATTTTTGAAAAAGCGATGGTACATTTACACAATGGAATACTACTCAGCCATGAAAAAGAAGAAAATCTTACCCTTTGAGACAGCATGGATGGACCTGGAAAGCATTATGTTAAGTGAAATAAGTTCACTCATGTGGAATTGAATGAACAAAGTAAACTAACAAAATAGAAACAGACTCATAGATAGAGAACAGCTAAAAGCTGTCAGAGGGGAGGGGATTTTCGGGGATGAGTGAAAAAGTTGAAGGGATTAAGCAACAAACAAACTACAGCCCTTCCCAGTGTGGCTCAGTTGGCTTCGTCCCATGCACTAGGAGGTCTCCAGTTTGGTCAAGGGCACATGCCCAGGTTGTGGGCTCGATCCCCCAGTGGGAGGCATACAGGAGTTGGCCGTCGATGTGCTCTCACATCAATATTTTTCTCTCTCCCTCTCCCTTTCTCTCTTAAAAAGAAGAACAAAACAACAACTTGTAGATAAGGTGATTACCAGAGGGATAGGGCGTCAGAGGAGGTGAAAGAGGATAAATGGGGGATAAATGGTGATGGAAGGGGACTTGACTTGTGGTGAATACAATACAGTATACAGATGATGTATTATAGAATTATACACTTGAAACCTATATAATTTATTAAGCAATGTCACCCCAGCAAATTAAATAAAAAAGCAAAGAAAAATTTAGTTCACAGATGGGACTATTTGGCCATAATCACATATATGTGTCACACCAAAGCATTCTGTCCACATCTTCAGATTCTCATATACTACTTAACCTGGACCTGTTATAAAAAGCTTCCTCAGGTTTTTGTATCTTAAAATCCTGATCCTGAAAAGGCATCCTTTTTAGAACATCCTAACATTTTTTAATGTTAAGCTTGGAAAAAAATGTGGTCATTGAATATATTACTTTGATGACTTCTTTCCCTCTACCCAGTAAGTCTGAGGTGTTTTTTTCCTCTCAGTTTATTATTTCAGCTGAGCGATAGGAAGAAAGTCAGTTGATGAATTCACACCTCAGAAGAATATTTCTTCTGTGAAAGAAGGTATACTTGTTGCCAGGAATTAAGAGGAGGAAAGGTGTATTTCAACCCTGACTACTAGATTCAGAAGTGGAGGCATTGATAAGAAGCTCGTTTTGGGATGGGTGAAGTAGCAATCTAGACTCCTGGACTCTCTGTCTATCTTAGTGATTTCCCCCCTTTTTTTTTTTTTTTACTCACCGTTATAGGGTCAAGGGAAACCTGATTTTTGAGAGAGTGTTGACCTTCCCTCCATAGCCAAGAGAGCTCTGCATTATGTGTGTGCTAGGTTAAGGTAACAGGGCTCAGGCAAATGATATTTCCTTGGGAGATTCTGATGATAAAGCCCATGGATAAGTTCATTTGTTAGGTTTAGCCTAGGTTTTAGGAGTTGTCCCTCCTCTAAGCATTCCCTTGGTAACACCAGGCTCCTGAGAGACATAGCTCAGTTATTTGATGAAGTCACCATTCTTATCTTTGTGGGCAGTCAGAACCTGTCTCTGTCCATTGAACCTGCATTCAGTGCTGATGAGGGTCCCTGTTAGCCTTCTACTTGTTTTTCTTTGTCCATGCATATAAAACACAAGAAAGTATTACATGGATTTGTACAAGTGGCTTTATATATTTTTTATTTTTTCTCAGGGGTGAGGGAGCTGGAGAGGGGCAAATGGTGATGAAGTGGGCTGAGGCCTTGGTGATTTTGAAGGGAGGGGGGAGGTTGACAGATTCTCTGCCCCTTATTTATTTAATTTATTTTAGAGAGAGAGGAAGGGAGAGGGATAGAGAGATAAAAACATCAATGAGAGAGAAACATAGATCTCTGTCCCAAGCATGCCCCCTACTGGAGATCGAGCCTGCAACCCAGGCATGTGCCCTGACCAAGAATTGAACCAGCGACCTTGTGGTGCATGGGACAATGCTCAACCATTGAGCCACTCCAGCCGGGCCAAGTGCCTTTACTTTTTTTCCTTTATAATAATAGATCTACCTGTAATCATAACAGCAGTTCTCATCAGGCAATGAGATCACGTTTTTGTAAAACTGTTCCCTTTGAGTATGCATTGTTATTAAGTAAATTTGCTGTTTTTAGATAGTGTGTAGGGATTATTTTTTGTACATTAATTCTTATGGTTAAGAGGGATGTTTAGATTCCAAATACCGAAGAAAAGGGGTTTCTCTATGTAAGAATATGACTGCTTAGTATTACCACGTAATGGTGAATTTGTTTCTTGGGATTCTTTGATTATAATATAGTAACCTTGATTATCTTTTGAAGTCTATTAAATCTTGAGTATGTTTCCTGAGTTTTTTGTATTTATAATGTGTTTGTTGCCTTCAGAGCATGAAGATTTTTTAACAGTTGCAGAGTCCCTGAAGAAAGAATTTGACAGTCCAGAAACTGCTGACCTAAAGTTCAGAATTGATGGGAAATATATCCATGTCCATAAAGCTGTTTTGAAAATCAGGTATTTTTGCATGAGCTTGAGACATCAATAACCTTCTTTTCTTTTTATAATATCTGTTCCCTTGTTACTCCATAAAATGGGGACTAATAAGAAATAGCCTTGGCAATAGAGGGAAATCACACAGCTTCATATTTTTGCAGATAGCCTCAATCCATTCATTATTGAAGAGTTTTGCATGCACACGTGTGTGTGCATGTGCACATGTGTCTTTTTTAAAAAGCATAATGTAGTAGTATAAGTATTTGTCTATATATTTTTTTATAAATATATTTTAATTGATTTTTTTAGAGAGAGAAAGGGAGAGGGATAGAGAGATAGAAACATGAATGAGAGAGAAACATCCATCGGCTGCCTCTGGAATTGAGCCCACAGCCCAGGTATGTGCCCTGACCTGGAATTGAACTGTTGACCTCTTGGTTTATGGGCCAACGCTCAACCACTGAGCAACACTGGCCAGGCGGTCTATATTGTTTTTAAATGAAGGATCTTGTGAATATTTATTTCCATCAAAAGCCTTATTTACATGGTCAAAAACCCCCATGAAAGATTGTCAAGGAAAAGTGTATATATGCCTCCTTTTGCTGTTAATTAAAAATTTATTTTTCTCAAGCAGAAAACTCTGGAATGGTGGTCTTCTGGCTCGAGGGACATCTAATTCCCAATTAAAGAAGTGTTGTTTAGTTATATGTCAGGAGTTCTTTGTATAAATGTGAGGGAACTTTGTATTTATTAGTAATTGTTTGGACTGTTGCTCACTAAGGCTGCCTTTACAGAGACCAGCGCAAACAAAGTCAGTCCACTGAGAATTAATCTGGCCACTTACATGTCTTTTTGTAAATTTAGTCAAAAAACTATTTACAAAATAACGTTAAAGGGAATTGAAAAGTCCATATATCATTCCTTACTTAAGAGCTAAATATCTGCACCAAAGTATTAATTGAAAGATGACCTGGAAATGTTTGTGTCTGTGAACCTGTGGACAACCAGTCTATTCCTTTCATGTATAGTTTTCTGACCCATTTTATCTACTATTCCTTGCTTAGATACCCATTTCTTTTTACTTCTCAGATGAAGTAGTTTTTTTAAAATATATTGTATTGATTTTTTACAGAGAGGAAAGGAGAGGGATAGAGAGTTAGAAACATCGATGAGAGAGAAACATCGAACAGCCGCCTCCTGCACACCCCCTACTGGGGATGTGCCTGCAACTAAGGTACATGCCCTTGACTGGAATCGAACCTGGGACCTTTCAGTCCGCAGGCCGATGCTCTATCCACTGAGCCAAACCAGTTAGGGCAATTTTTTAGGCAAATGGCCATTTTCTTTTTAGTATTCTGAATGGATTTTGAAAGTATTTTGTGTTTATTTATACTGTATCTCATTTTAAAAGGATTTTAAAAGATGGTTTTTTAAACCTATAAAGTATGTCATACTTTAAGAAAATCTATATTCAGAAATCAGTTCCTGAATTTATGGGTAGATTTGTACATGTTATACAATACATATTTCAAGAAAACCCCTTAGGTTTTCTTGAAATATGTGACTATAAGTAAACTAGTGTCCCAGTGCACGGATTTGTGCACATTGAAGGAAATTAATTAGAATAAATATTTTAATATCGCTATTCATGTCTTGCTAATGAAAAGAAAATAGATTCTACCGAGTCTCCTATCTTCTTACTCCAGGACTTCTGTGAGGATCAAATGAGATGAGGTACAGGAAAATGCTTCACAAACATTTGGATAAACTGTAAAATATTTGCACCTGGCTATAAAGCAAGTCAGGTTCCTGGGCTGAAGAAACTCCAAGGAGACTAGTTGCTATGTGACGTCATTACCTGGCACCCACAGCAACTGTTTCTGGGCTGGGCTAGGCAGTGGGCCACATTTTGTGCCATGGGTTCTTGGCAGCGTTGGCTGCTGTTTGGTGGGGTGTTGCTCTGGGGTGGTGGCAGGGCCTGTGTCCCACTTGGGGGAAGCCGATTGTTGGTTTGTCAGCGCCAGGTCCGTGGTGCCATTTATTTTTAAATGGCCAGTGTGCGTCATGGTAGCTCCTGCATTGAGCATCTGCCCTTGGTGGTCAGTGCATGTCATAGCTACCAGTTGGATGGATGGACACAGCCTTTTATGTATATAGACTAGAGGCCCGGTGCACAAAAATTTGTGCACTCGGGGGGAAGAGGGGGGTCCCTCAGCCCGGCCTGTGCCCTCTCACAGTCTGGGACCCCTCGGGAGATAACGACCTGCTGGCTTAGGCCTGCTCCCAGGTGGCAGAGGGCAGGCCCAATCCCTAGGTGCAGCCCCTGGTCGGGCTCAGAGCAAGGCTGATTGGGAGTTGGGTGCCTCCCCCTGTCATGCACAGAGCAGGGGCGGATCGGGAGGTTGCGATGCCACCCTCAGTCACGCTCAGGTAGGGCCGATTTGGGGGTTGGGGCACGCCCCCTGTCACACTCAAGCAGG